CTGCTCAATATGGCAGTATCAACAGGCAAAATGAGGAACCTGAAATACAGGTGTAAAATGTGTTATAGCTGCATATTTTAGAAAAAATTTCAGAAGTATCTCACTTGTGGTGTGGCAAGAATCTCAATCTAAGCTGGGTCTGTTGCTGGGGTTCGAGCATGTCTGGGCATGTCTGGAAAACTAGTGAGTCAGGACTGAAAGAAACCTGCTGACATGGGGGCTGAGACTGCTTCTTAGAACAGAACTCATTTTAGTGGTACAGAGAATTAGACAGGGAAGCCCTATAAGAAAGACTTAGTCATTGGATGGGGAGTAATAAATACAGCTTAGGGGAGCTGTTACTCAAATCTGTCGCCAATCTAGGCCCATGAAAGCATGTCTGGGTCCCTAAGAGAAACAGAGCCCTGAGTAAAAACATAAAGAGCTGTTTCACTGAAAAACTGTGTAAGACGTTGAGCACAAGCAGTCTGCTTTGGGGTTCCCCTACAAGAGGTCAGCATGGTGATCTCCATTTCTGTAGGCTGAACTCATGGCTGTGGCTATTTTGTTTGTATAACAGATCCTGGTAGGAGCCTGCAGTGCCTAGAAGAACAAAGCAGAAGGGGGCACTGAGAGAGAGCAATGTGTGAGTATATGAGGGACCCCTCCCATACACACCCCGGGAGCTCCCAGAAAGCTGGAGTTGTCCTTACTATGTTCATAAGCTTGGTAGGTAGGAGAGTCTGTGAAATGCAAGATAAGGTTGCTAATCTGACCATTAGTACTCTAGTCATTTTTTTTTTTATTAAAGATTTTATTGAGGAATTGGGGGAGGAAACAGCATTGGGGAATTGGGGAAGGAAAATGGACAAGTTGCTGTCCTTTTGTTCTTCAGTCTAGTTGTGGAGGATGTCGCTTCACTGGCCCATGTTGGTATTATCATTGCGCTTTTCCCAGGTGAGGCAGATCGGTCGCCGGCCTCTGGACCGCTGCTCACGGCGGCTCCTGGCAGCTCACACCAGCTGCTGGTCGCTCACGCTGGCTGCCGGCCACACACGGTAGCTTATGGCAGCCCACTGCAGCAGGGGCTGCAGCCTACGCCATCGCCGGTGACTCACAGCAGCCCAGCTCCAGGTCGAGCTATTGTTCAGCATCTTAGCTGTAGAGGGCAGTGTCACTGGCCCTCATGTGGGATCCGAACCAGGGCCCTACTGCTCAGAGCTGGTGTCCCAAGCCAGCTCTTAAACAATGCGCCACTCCACTGGCTTGGTAGTCAATGTGTTTGAATGCTATTCCTAATCAAATAGCTCTTATGCAATGGTGTGTTACTGGGTAATTTATAATTATGCATAGAATTGCACTCTCCAAGGAAGGAGGGAACTACAGAACAGTGATTCTCAATCTATTAAGGAACAGTTTGTTTTTTATTTTATTTTTTTAAATTTCCAGTGGACTGATAACTTTTGCAAAATACAGTAAAAGTGAATTACCAGAATAATAAAATAAAAATAAACTGATGACATCGAAAATACAAGCCCAATTTTTTTTTTTTTAAGATTTTATTGCAGAATTGGGGGAGGGGAACAGACAAGTTGCTGTCCTTTTTGTTCTTCAGTCTAGTTGTGGAGGACATCACTTCACTGGTCCATGTTGGTATCATCATTGCGCTCTTCCCAGGTGAAGCAGTCGCATGCTGGCCTTCGGACGGCCGCTCAGGGTAGCTCACGGCAGCTCACGGCAGCTCAAGCCAGCTGCTGGTTAGCCCCACTGCAGCCTACTCTGTCTCCGGCAACTCACAGCAGCCCAGCTCCAGGTTGAGCTGTTGTTCACCATCTTAGCTGTAGAGGGCACAGCGTCACTGGCCCTCATGTGGGATCTGAACCGAGGCTCTGCTGTTCAGAGCTGGCGTCCCAAGCCATCTCTTAACCAATGTACCACTCGGCCGGCCGGAAGCCCCAGTTTTTTATTATTAGATTCAGCAGACATAAAATTACTGTCAAGTTGTGATAAAAGTTTCCAGAAGCTAATTTCAGCACTTAATCTAGCTGCAGACATGTAACAAACGGTTTGTGGATGGGCACTGGTCTGTAGACCACACTTCTTACAGTTTTATCAACCTCTCTTACCTGAGGCCACCTGAAGGAACTTCATCACCCAAGGGTCCTGCCTCTACTCACACATTTCAGTGAGTGGGATAATGACACTGTGGCACTGGTTATGTAGAAGAATACCCTTGTTCTAAGGCGATGCATGCTGAGTAATGATGTCTGTAACTAAAGGAAAAGGGAGAGAGAAAAAAAGAGAGGGAATGGGGTAGGGATAAGGTAATTGGGGGAGGAAGAGAGAGAGAGAGAAGGAGTCTGTAGAGAGAGAGTGAGAGGAGACAGGGACATAACCTGGCAAAATTTTAGCATTTGATGAATCTAGGCAGGTATACAGGTATTTATTATCCAAATTTTTTCAAATTATCAGAAAATGTCCACTTTAAGAAAAAACTCTTCAGTGATGGGAAACATACTTTTCTCAAAAAAGCCAGTTCCAAGATAGCTCATTTTACTCTTTAAGTACAAATACTGCACGTAGAACGTTTATTTGTGGCTTAGATACCTACCATTGCCATGTGTCTAATCTCTATTCACTTTTCACTCTTTTTACCATATCTCCTATACATTAGATGCCCTTCCAACATAACTTTAATGATATCACACCTTTTAAAATAATTTCAGTATCTACCTGTTGTCTTTCAAAGTCAACTTTTTAGTTAAGATTTTCTGCAATCTAATTTTTAACTTTTTTTTTTGCTTTCTAGCTTTGCTTTGTCATGGTTAATTAACACTAACCCCAATACATTTTTATGCTTTTCTATATTATTGCTTCTTAGTCCTAGAATTTCCCCACACACAGAATTCTATTCTGTATACTCTTAAAGATCCAGCTCAAATTAATTAAACTTAGATGTAGTTATATCTCTTGCTGTACACATTGTTCAAATCCTACATTCATGTTTTCCTTGATTAAGTCAGCTAAACGTTAACACTAATCTCCAGGGCTTACTTAATACACTGCCTTGCACACAGACTTAATATGGTATACACTTTTCAGTTGAACTCTCTAATGTTTCTTAGTTTAGAATACACAGGATGATAATACATTCCTGTCTATCTCGGAATGGCTTTGAGATTAAAATATTTGAAGTTAGTATTTTGCATTGCATGTGAATATGAAGGTATCTGTAAACCATAATGCCCCATACTTTTGTTTATTATTTCTATTTTTGCTTTCCCTTGAGGCAATATATGGGAAATATAATACCTGTCCAAAAGCCTAAGGCAGAAGACATAATAATGGGGTACTTGTGGTATTTGAAGACTTTCCAAAATGTACATGAGCATGGAGAATTTGTTTTAAAGCAGTCAGTCCTCTGATACCCCTCTTAGTTAGCCAACCCTAAAACTGCTCTGCCTGAAAATGTACCCGGGTCAGAGTGTAAAGTGCCTCCTTTCCAGCCTCCCTTATCTCAGTTGTCCCTCCCCTACTTTACAAATGAAAGGCATAATTCCTCCCCACCCCAAATCTTACTAAAGTGAAATACACTAGGGGCATACAAAACCTCCAGGACACCAAAAGAATCAATTGACTGGAAAAGAGAATGAGTAACACATCCTTTTACAAGTCAGGTGGTTTTCAGTTACTTATTTCAACAAAGTTGAAAGAGAACCCAATCAGAGTTGTCAGCTGATAGATTAAAAGTATTTTGTGTTAGATCTTTATGTGATTTTTGCATGTAACTTGGAAGGAGTTCAAAGAATGTAGTGGCATTACTCTAACAAAACTCCATTCATTTTCATCTACTTATTTATGTAGACCAGTTTTCTCGATGCTTACATCCATGGAATTGAAAACTTGGACTGGAATTGATGCTGAACTCAGTCTCATTCTAGTAATACTCATCCGCTGATAAAATAAACTGGTTGAAAAAAAAATTCATCCAATTCCATCTCTGTGAGATGCATTTCCAACAAAATTTTATGTATGTTTAAGAGTTATTTATAAATATTTGCAATATAGTTGTCTTATCAGTTGAAATAAGACAGTTTTATGATCACAGGAAATTTTAAAACTACCCTTAAATTTCAATTTATATACACATTTTTATTACAAGGAAATATAATGATCAATAAAACGGCTCAAAAATAAAATATATTATTAATAAAAAGCTCTGGAGGGGAAGTGGAATGTTAAGATGAGTTCCAGAAGATTATAGAGATTTTATCTTAAAAAGTGGATATTAGTGGGTAGTAAATCCCTATGGTATGTAGAATTTATTGGCTACGTTTTAAAAAGTGGGAGTTATAAAACATTTATAACAAGCAGGGAAAATGTATATACCACTTTAAACTGTATAAGGATGTACAAAATTGTTTTAGAGGGCTCATGAACCAAATAGTTCGAAGATCTTGAACATGAAAGATATGCTTGCTCCGAAACTGTGATTTAACCGTTCCTCGAGGTTTTCAAACACAGGCTTAGAGTAAAACCTGTGGCTCTATGTTGCGCATATAGATTTAGGACCTTGCATTGTACTACTATTTTTATTCATTTTAATCGCCTCTCCCCGTAGATTGTAAGCTCTCAGAGGACCAAGGACTTGTTAGATTCCTGGCTCAGTGCCTGTACCCAGGGGACACTCCCCAAACACCCCGGAATGAATGACTTTATCGTGAGAACTCCGAGCGCTGCTAAAATCCCCTGGTTTTCTTTTGGCGTGTCACGCCCGCGGCCAGGCTGGGGAAGGCGTGGGAAGGCCCGAAGGAAACTCTGAGCACTCCGCGGGGCGGGCCCGGTGTGGGGGCGCGGGCGCGGAACCCGATGCCGGGGGAGGTGCCACCCAGCGCCGCCGCGCAAGCGCGCAGCCGTCTCCGCGTGAGTGCGCGCAGTCGCGCGCCTGTCCCCGCGCGGGCTCCGTAGCGCGTGTGCAGGCTGACGCAGCTCGCGGGCCCTCCTCTTGCTCTGCAGCGGCGTCGGCGGAGTTTTGGGCGTTTGGGAGGGGGCGAGTGAGCGCGAGTCGAGAGAGGGAGGCGGCGGCGGCGGCGGGGAGGAGGAGCAGCAGGCGCCGCCATGGCCGCCGCTATCACCGACATGGCCGACCTGGAGGAGCTCTCCCGCCTGAGCCCTCTGCCCTCCGGCAGCCCCGGCCCGGCGGCTCGGGGCCGGGCTGAGCCCCCCGAGGAGGAGGAGGAAGAGGAGGAGGAGGAAGAGGAGGCTGAGGCCGAGGCGGTGGCGGCGTTGCTGCTGAACGGCGCCGGTGGGGGCGGTGGAGGCGGCGGCGGAGTGGGGGGCGGTGAGGCGGAGACGATGTCGGAGCCGAGCCCCGAGAGCGCCAGCCAGGCCGGGGAGGACGAGGACGAGGAGGAGGACGAGGAGGAGGAGGACGAGAGCAGCAGCAGCGGCGGTGGCGAGGAGGAGAGCAGCGCCGAGAGCCTGGTGGGCAGCAGCGGCGGGAGCAGCAGCGACGAGACGCGCTCGCTGAGCCCCGGTGCCGCCAGCAGCAGCAGCGGGGATGGGGACGGCAAGGAGGGCCTGGAGGAGCCCAAGGGACCGCGGGGCAGCCAGGGCGGCGGCGGGGGCGGCAGCAGCAGCAGCAGCGTCGTCTCCAGCGGCGGCGACGAGGGCTACGGGACCGGGGGAGGCGGAAGCAGCGCGACCTCCGGGGGCCGGCGGGGCAGCTTGGAGATGTCGTCGGATGGGGAACCCCTGAGCCGCATGGACTCGGAGGACAGGTAAGTGCACCAAAGCGTTGCCTCTTCTTTCCCTCCTCCTGCACTCCTGGGCCAAGGGGACTTTTTGCTGAGATTTCCCCCCTGCTCCCCGAATTCTCGGCCCCTCCCCCAGGCTCAACTCGGAAATCTCTCCCGGCCGCCGCGCCCCTCTCGCTGCGGATAGCGGCTTCAAACTCTCAAACCGTTTCCCCCCTAACTCTCCTTTCCCCGCCCTCGTCTCTCTCGGCTCTGCACTCCTTACAGACCTAAAGATAGCTCGCACCTCGGAGACAACCCCAAAGCAGGCCTAGATCCTCTGGCGGAGCAAAAGAGGCCCTTGATGTGCACACCTCGGTACCTAAGGTTAGCGTCGGCCGTGTTCGCGAACACTTGTCAGAACTCTAATTGACAAGTGTTTTCCAACATGGCTGGTTTCGCCTGGATTTAGCCGAACTTCCTTTCCATGAAGGAGACCCCCCCCAACTATTATTACGCCTCTCTACTTAAAAAAGAAGAGACTATTTTTTTTAATGTTTAATCCGTACTTCCAAAATTCCGTATGTGTAGTCATTAATGTGATCTCCAAAGTGATTTTAATAACTTCAGTTTGTTGTGTGATGAAACCTGGGAGAAAGTTTAAAACGAATACATCATTGTAGAAAAGAAAAATGAATTGATGTCTTTTAAAATAAATTTGAGGAATCAAAGAGACTTGGAATCGGATGAAAATACTGTCGTCAAGGTACAACATATTAGTATTCTGTTTAATATCTTTATATAGTAATGCTTCAACGTGAGAGTCATGGCTTTAGATGATAATATTTAAAGTCATTGGAGAGAGCTCTGAAGGAATCAGCATTTTTCTAAAGCTAGTTAGAAATAACGTGGAGGCTGACAAATATGTGTTGTATTTTTTTCTGGACATTAAAATTTATTGCAGTAGTATGTTTTAACTGTTACTGTTGTTACTTTTGATCTCTTTGGAGAACTTTCCATTTTAACTAATTGGCTTTTGTGCTTTTTTTAAGACAGAGAACTGCTTCTAAAGTACATTAGCATTTATTCCGACCATTTGCTGTTTTTGATGAGCAGTAGAATTTTTAACAATCGATATTGACTTGAATTTAAAAGTTTTAAGTAATTGTAAAGTTCTAGGAATTCCTGATGAACTGATAGAAATGAATACTTTAGTTTATATTAAATGTAATGAGGACTATAAGGCCCTAAATATTTTGAAAATAAAGCATTAGAATCTGTTTGATACTTATTTTAATACCTAGTTAAGAAAACATCTTGGGTGGGGTAAAATAGACTGTACAAACCTTAGAAAAATTACACTGAACTATATAGGTATGGCAGGAAGGAGAATGTCTTCAAGAAAATTAAAAATTGGTTGTAAACTGAACAGTGAAACGTGTTAATTATCATTTATTATATCCTCCTTCGTTGGTACTCGTAGATATTTGAAAGTTGACATTAGGTTGTACAATCAGCACCTACCACAGTTCTTCCATTTACTTGGTGTACACACACACTCTCTCTCTCTCTCTCTCTCTCTCTCTCTCTCTCTCACTCACTCACTCACTCACTTGCCTAACTGCACAATTTAAGTGTTGCAGTCATTTTCATTTCTCACAACTGTGATGCAAGATAGGTATTATTTTGACTTTCATTTAACAGATGAAGAAGCAAGATGACTGTTAACTAAAAACAGTAAGTCTAGAATGGTAGTGGTGGACCTAGGCCTGAACAAAGGTTCTAAGTTCCCTGCTATATCCACTTCACGAGAGAGAATAATTCACTTTAACAAGCTGTATGTCAGTTTTCTTGTTTGTTTTGAGTTAGTATCTGTCCACTACATCCTTTTAGGGGACAAGGAATTACTTGTCAAGTAATTATAGTCAAATAATCTTTCGGAGAGTAGAGTTTTGGCTTCATTTCATATGTATTAGATATTCACTTGATTATCTAATTTTCACATCATATTTCAGAGTAAGGAGTAAGATGTTGGTGCCACAAGTCCAAATAAAGTTAAAACTTGATAATGAAACATTTTTGCTTTTCAAAATATTGTAGTCATTTTACCATCTTAGGGTAAAAGTTATCATTTGTGTGAAAAAGTCTTACATTGCTATTACATTACTATTATAGTTAAACTGGTTGTGGTCTTTGTAATCTGAATTCTGAAATTGCCTATGATTTTTTTTAAGTGTTATTTTAAATTTGGAAAGGATTCATACTTATAAACTGTCCTGCAGATTACACCAATCTATGTGGATTTTATAGATTGATTTCATGATGGAAAGTCTTTATGTTTGTAACTGATGAAAGGGTATTGTGGTTTTAAAGTGCTTTTAAAAAACGAGGCATTCCCATCACAATGATTTTTTTTATCATTAGAATGTACTGTTTCTATTAGAACGCCTATTGAGTTTTTCTCACTGAAATTAGATCACATCTTTGAGTTTAACATACTTTAGAATTTGTTGAACTGTCTTAAATTTTTTTAACTGTAAGAGCTTCTTTTTAAGAAAGAATTAAATATAAAGACTTACATCTTATGCTGGTGATCCAGGGTGCCACTTTATTGGAAGTGTTGTGTGGTGAAAAGTGACTATAAAATGATTAAATGACAATTGGTTCAGAAACATTGATTATTTTCCCCAGGAGAGTTATTCAGAACCAGCGTTAAGTGTATTAGTGTGTTTATTTTGGTAAAGTTAGAAAACCTTAAAGTTCATAGGTAATTGCGTTTACTTTGGTTATAGAAGTAATGGAGTTTTCTTTGGGGGATGTATTTAGCTGTGCAAGACCACTGAAAACTAATTTTACTTTGAGTGTAAGTATTTCAAAAAGTTACCACATATTAAGTTAATTTCAGAGGCTAAGTTAAGTTAAATACAACTTTAGAATTTAAAATTTAGCCTTTAAAATGTTTAGTTTACAAATTAGTTCTAGCTATTGAATCAGATTATATTTACATGGAAGTACTCTTAGCTTCTAATCTATATAATATAAGTGAATTGATAATAACAACCTCTGTTTTGTGGTTATTTGTCTCTTTTTCTTAACACTGTTGTTTTTTTCCCCCAACTGGAGTATAAGCCATGGCTTATTTTGAAAAAGCCAAGACCTCTTTTCAGCCACTTTTACCAGCCTTTCTGGATGAACCCACATGTGAAGTGAAAAGTGCATGTATAAGGGTGGGGTGGAAGGGAAGGGCATATAGTGTGAAACTTACTTTAAGTGATCAGCAACGGCCAGAGGCCCTTACCGTTTTTTTAAATGAAAATTTGGACTTCCAACCCTTTGGGTTGCCAACTTTGAGATATAATTAAGATTGCTTTGACACTGGGAAAACAGGCTATATTGCCCAATTTCCCAGTAGTATGATTGGGAATATCTTTTTTCTAATACAGAGGCTAAATTCTTAAATCAGATTAATACCAGAAAGCTGCGTGTTGAGATTATTGTCAAGATTTATTAAGGATCTGTATGTTTGAGGCAATAAAATATTTTATATAAAGTAATATTTTGCTCATATTTTATGATGAAACTCCTTTTCACTATTTACCCCTTTCAGCTCTGAAGCAGCCAGTTGTCCATAGTCTCTCCAGAATTCATTCTTCTTTTAGCTACCCTTTTATTTTGATTAAATTTAGGGAAAATAGCTTCAAATAGGCCTGTTTCCATTGATAACATTTGTAACACTCAGTTAAGGAAGGTATGGCAACAAAAAACTACAGATTTCAGGATTGAATTTATATGGTGAGATTCTAAGGGGCATTTTACTTTTAAGAAACATTAAGAGTACTTTGTTGGGTCAGGGAATCCTGTGTGTAAGCTAGTTTGTTACTAGCTGTTGTGGGATATAGGAAGACACAATGCTTCCCACTTCATCTTGGTATAGCTGTGAGACTTAATTCTGAAGTGTAGGCTTTGCCATAGTTCCTAGCATAAAACTTCATTAACTCTAATGTAAACAAAGTTAGAGATTTCACACCTTTCCTATTGTGTTATTTATTGTTGTGTAACAAACTTTCCTAAAATTTGCAACTTAATAAACATTTGTTAACTGGTTTCTAAGAGTCAAGAATAATAAGTCTTAGCCTGGTGGTTCTGGCTTAGGGTCTCATGAGGTTGCAGTGAAAACGCAGGCCAGCACTGCAGTCAGCTAAAAGCTTGACTGGGGCTAGAAATACTTTTCCAAGATGCCTCACTTATGTAGCTTTTGGCAGGAGGCCTCAGTTATTGTATCTCACCAAGCCAGTATCTCCATAGGGCTTTTGTGTGTCCTCATGTCCTAGTAGCTAGTTTTCCCCAGAGCAAGTGATCTGAGAGAGCAGTGAAGAAGCCACAATGCCTTTTTATGACCTGCATGTATCTGCTCATAGTTTCTTCATCTTCATTTAGCAGATTTGTTTTTCCTATTTTTGTCATTCATATTCTGATACACAATAATTGCTTCAGCTTTTTGTTCATCAAGATAACCTTTCAGAACCCATCAAAATGCCACAACGAATCCTTTCCTCATCTTTTTAAAACTTGGCTTTAATTTCTTTTTCCTTTTAATTCCCATATTTTTACTCTCTTTTTTTCCTTCCTTTTATGGTGCTACTCTGTAGGTGGAGGGATGTAGGATATTACAGTAATCTGGAGTCAAAGGGGAAAATTCAAATCTTAGTCTTGTTGCCTAGCTTATGATTTTAAGAATATCTTTGAGCCTTCTTTCCTGAACTGCAAAACAAGGTTAGGATTTACCACGAAGGGTGAATTTCTAACTACTCCTGTGAATTATTTTGAAGAACCTATATTATTTGAATGCTTGTTTCATCCCTTTTGTTGGAGAATGCTATATTTTTGAGAGCAGGGACAGTTTAGCTCCATTACAACTTTGTAGTATTTAACACAGTACCTTGGATTTGGTGGGTACTCAATTATTGGAATTAAGTTGAAATACCAACAATAAAATTTATATAAAAACGGAGACTATAAATGAGGGCCAGTAATTGGTGCCTTTATATTTAGTATTGGTGAGTTTAAGCCCAGCTTTTCTCTGCGGGTGCACTGAAATAAGTCCTGTGAGATTGTGTGCAAAATTTATGTGGGCATTTCTCTGAGAACACGTCAGCAACTTGCATCATATTTTCAAAAGAGTTTGGTCTAAGTCAGCGGTTCTCAACCTGTAAGTCGCGACCCCTTTCATAGGGTTGCCTAAGACCATCGGAAAACAAAAAGATATTTACATTACGATTCATAACAGCAAAATTACAGTTACAGTGTAGCAATGAAAATAATTTTATGGTTGGGGGTCACCACAACATGAGGAACTGTATTAAGGGGTCACGGCATTAGAAAGGTTG